TTAAGCGCTTCTCAAACAAGCAATCAAACAAGCAACAAGTTCAATTGTGTCTACTCAAGTCAATGCCTCGCGAGGTCTACTCGATCGTCTTCCTCGCTAGCGTCCAGATCTTTACAAAGTGTTGCTCTAAAACGCGAAGTCTACGGGACACCACTTTATCTCGACCAATTACGAACCAGCGTATCTTTCTACGAGTGGTTGAAGCTTAGTGGTTCTAAGCTATTCAAATCTATCGGACGACTCTACGGACTAGTGGTCTTCATCGCCGCCGTCAACGCCTGAAGCCCACTTTACTCTGACACACTCGCGGCGGCCGCGCTAAGTATCACTTCGCGCGCCTACTCGCGGACTAACTGTACTCGTTACCGGTGGTGTTGACCGCTAAGTGGCGGTCACGGGGCACTACAGCTGTACTGCACTGTCCCCTTGCTCTACCGCCCGCCCCTGGGTGGTTTACTTGGCAGCAGCTTGGATGTCAGCGTTGAACTGTGCCTGCCGAGATCTTCGCGTCGGAGGGGGTGAAGGCGTCGCTGCGCACGCCGTTTTCGCTTCCTTCGCGTCGGACTTGCCCTTCTTGGTTTTCTTCTTCTTCATCTGGGGTGCGCCAGCGTCAGAATGCTCGATGGCGCGCTTCTTCTTCTTCCTCTTCAGCGGCTCGCCGGTGGTGGGGTCGACTGCGGGCCGCCGTTCCTTCTTTCTGCGCTCCCGCTTCGTCTCGACCGTGATGGGCGCCGCGAGTGGAGCGCGCTCGGGTTCGGACTCCGGGATGTGGTTGCCGGCAGAAGCAGGGGTGACCGCCGTGATGACAGAAACTGGGGCGCCGGAGCTGACGCCGGAAAATGATGCAGGCCCCCGGAACTTGATCTTCACCGGAGCCCCTGGCAGAACGGTTGTTGTGACGTCAGCATCAGGTCGAGATGCCTTAGTTGGTGTTCCGACTTGCCAACGGCAGGAGAGATGATGGTGACGGACAGCGGAACGTCGGTGATGTCTAACGGCGTGGGCTTCTGAAGTGATGATGGCGTGGGCATAACGGAGGTGACGGTGGGCGTGGACACGTCAGCAGGTGCGTTGAGCGGAGCCGATTTCGTACCTCCGGGGAGGGGCTCTGATGACGTCGGCGCTGGCGTAGCCGCCTCGAGGCGCGTCGCAGGGGCTGAAGCATGGGTAGCTGGACTCCGCACAGCGTCAGGGACGCCATCAGACGTGCGTGGTGGCGAGGACGACTCAGCCGGTGCCACGTCAGCGATCTGGGGCTTCGGCCAGGGAAGCGCCACGGGAGTTGTCGGGGCCTTCCACATCGGCGGAGGAGGGGGAGGCAGAGTGGTCGCCCCAGCAGGGCGCTCGATGATGACGTCAGCAGCGGGTGGGGCTGACGCCGCCGGCACAGGGGTGGCTGCTGACGTTTTCTTGAGCTGGCTGACGAGTAGCGCCTCGTTTGCCTCCTTCAGAGAGTTGGGCTTGGGTGGCCGCGGTGGTCCTGGCGTCGCCGGGGGAGAAGTGCCGTCTTTCAGATGTTGCAGGACGTCGGGGAGTTTGGAGATCTGCTCGGCGAGACCGACACGTGGCGGGCTGGGGGACCGGTCAATGTCGAGCAGCTGCAGCGAAGGAGAGCGCGCCGGGGGCGCGTGCGGCGAGCACGAGCGTGTGGGGGACGCTGCTGGAGGGTCGTAGTCGCCGTTGTCGAGCGACTTCTTGATGTGGCCGTAGATGGTGCGGCCAATGGCAGCGGTGTCGGGGCGGATGGAGCGCGATTCGTGCTCCTGCGGGTTGTGGCCGAGGTACGCCACAACGGTGTTCTCGGCGCCCTTTCCGCGCCGGAAGACACGTGGCTCAGCGACTGCGTTCCTCAGAGCCGCCATGGCCGCCTGGTGGCGTCCTTCCGAGATTGGGCTGCGGCGGCGTCCGGCAGGAGTAGACCTGTTGAAGATGAAGGGCTGCTTGGCGGGGGGCTGACGTCTTGATTCGCCAGCTGGCAGCCGCCGAGACGGAGAAGTGGAGCGGGGGTTGGCGCGGCCGCGAGAAGGCCGTTGTGTGGTTGGAGAGCGCCCTCGGCGACGAGAGGGCGAGCGGTCGGACCGCGGTGGAGAGGGCGACAGGGACCGCCTGGAGCGCGTGGGCCGGTCCGGTGGTGAAGGGGCGCGCTCGCGGACCCGCTGACGCAACTCGCGGTGGGGCTTCTCGGCGTCCTGCTCGCCGTCGCCCAGGCGCCTTCGCTTCGCACCGTCATCTGGAGGGGGTGAGCGTCTGTCGCGGCCGCCGCCGCGTCCGCCGCCGCCGTTGTCTCGCTGGTCGGCAGGGGAGCTGTGGCCGCGGCCGCCAGCGCAAGAGTCGTCACGCGGAGGGCCCCGGCCGCCAGGTGAAGGTGGGGGGCCGCCCGCCGGAGGGCCTGCCCGCGCACCGGTGGCCAGAAAGCGCTGCAGAAAAGCGCAGACGTGCTGCGCGAGGCCCGTGTCTGCGCGTGACGTGGCAGAGATGAGCTGGCAGAGGTTGTCGATGACCGGGATGTTGCCCATGCTGGCACGCCGGTTGGAGGGCTGGAGGTCGGGGGTAGCAAGCAGCTCGTTAGTGAGCTGTCGCCGAGTGCCCCAGATCGGGTCCGGACAGGGGAACGGCTGCTCGGCGAGGGAGTTGAGCAACCGGAGGATGGCGGCCTGAAGGGTATTGGCGGCGCTCGCGCCGCGCGCCGCCGTGTTGAAGATGGCGCTGTAGTCCACGCCAGTGGAAGGGGAAGTCGCGGCCGTCGCTTGTGCGCCACGCTGGGGACTGGGGCGCGGCTGCCGCGAGGGCCGCCTTGGCGGGGGCCGTTCCGCCGGAGCAGGCGCCGGGGCAGGGGGCTGAACGGCCTCGGCGACAGCCACTTCCTGGATGGCGGCCGCCGCACGCTGAGCCGCAAGGCGAGGGGGGTGCTCGCGGTCGCCTTCTTGCGCGCGCTCCGGTCGGATGGCCGCCGGTGAGCGGTCGCGTTTCGCCCAGGGCTCTTCTGGCGCGTCGAAACAAGTGGGGTTGCGGCGTAGACACGCGACGACGTAGGACCGCGCCTCGTCGGGGAGGAGCTGATCGACGGTGTAGTCGGAGGCCGTCCAGGATGCGATGACGTGGCAGCTGAACGTGAGCGGGGCGCCAGTGGCACGCCCAGTAGAGAGGAGGACGTGGCGCTTCGATAGCCTTCTGCTGACGTACGTCCTGGTTGAAGGCCGCCGCTCGTGAGATCTGCGCCTGGTGGGTGGCGCGAAGCAGAGCGTTGAGCCTCTGAGTTGCCACGATGACCTCCAGACAGCGGCTGGTGACGTCATCCACTTCCTCGTCGGTGGCGGCCAGCGTCGTACGGTAGCGTTGAGCGAAGAGTCGCTCTACCGGAAGTATCTGATGGCGTCCGTACACCATGTGGAACGCCGAGAAGAGTGTGGCGCCCCGGACGCAGATGCGGTGCGCAAACAGCAGGTCGTAGAAGTAGCGGGGCCAGTCGTCGCCATAGCGGGCTTGCAGCTTCCGCAGTCCCCGCTTGAAGTGCTTGACCGCTGATTCCGCCAGACC